AAAAAACTAAGTTCAAGAAATTCTAAGCGTTCTCCCTAAATGGCGCCAGTATGAGTCGACAAGGGGCAGGTGAAAACAATCGAGGCGGTTACAGAAGCAGAAGCAGTTATGTAGAACACCAAAGCAGGACAGGAACTATAAACTGGGTCACTGAAACGCAAGAAAAACCGGAAAACCAAGTCTGTGGGGTATTCAGTGATCTCCAGTATTTGAGAGCAGCAGCAAAAAGAAAATACCTTTTTTTAGTTGAGGTCCTTTTGCTTCATCTGCTTTCAGAACGACGACACAGAGCAACTTATAATTGCTCTATATATCTATATGTTTATATTCTCTTTATTATCTGAATCATAAATTGTGGCATCATTTAGAAATGTAGTACGGTGACAAAAATGACTGGCGTCCTTTCTTCATCTGTAGCGACGAGGTTTTCTTTGTGACTGCTATAAGGTCAAGATTAGAGCAATGTAAAAAAAATAAAAAAGCAATATTTGGATTACATCAGTTTGACTGTGATAAAGCAAGAAGACCGTTTTAGTTTCGGTCGGTGGACGTGATGTTTCCAGACCGAAACTGGACGCTCATGCCGGACTGTTTGTGCAGGTCTCAAGCCAAGGTCAACACAGGTGGCAGAAAACACGAGCTGCTTAAAACCGTTAATTATTAACTCTGAAAATAAAAAAAAAATTTAACAAAGAGTAGGCGATTACGACTCCGGGAGTCAGAACACTGTGATGCACTCTGCTGATGAGAAAACGGTTGCTTTTCAAAGAAAGACAGCTAAAACAAAGACGATGTTTCGGTTGTGAAAACAAAAACTAAGACGCTACTTCCACGGCCTGGTTTTTGCCCACTTGTTTGTTAATCATCATTTCCTGATTCTATGCAAATCAGGATCAAAAGTAAACTGTCTTGTAACGGTTCCCTCTGTTTCCCCCGAGCGACACAATCTGAACGTCAACAGCAGTAAAATGAAAGTTGTGGTTTTGATGCCTTTTGTTAAACTGCAGACAGTATTTTAGGTTTAGGATTAGATCCGCTACTCATCTTCTAATGTCTCCGTCATCCAGTTCTACTGCTGGACAATGACTCGATTTTATCCATTAATTTTTGGTGTTGAGGGTTTTTTTTATTTTTTTTTATTTTTTTTTGATGATTTTATTTGTGTTGAATCTGTATTTTTCTCTCTGTGGGTTTCTGTAGTTCAGTCATCTTGTTAGACAAATGTGTTTCACAGCTTCTATTTAGTTTGGTCTTTGAAATCATGTCAACTCTATGAGGCTTGTGTCAAATTTTTTAAAATATTAATTATGAGTTTAAAGACGCAATATTGCCAGAGTAAAGTCCTAACTTCATGAGAACTGCAACACTCCAAAAGACCTCAAATGAGGAATATTAATAATTTTGTGAACTTGTACTTTGGTATAAGTTTTATAGAAACTATTGCATTAATTGATACTGTATTGAATTATTATCAGCAGCAGGACTTTTAATCTTGCTAACTAAAAGCCTTTTCTTGTTAAAATTACTTCATTCTGCTAATATTGTTATATTTTCTCCTATTTAAGCAAAAGCTCTCATAGTCCAGCCCCAATACTCAGTCATACAACTCACAAGAGGTATGGCTGAAACAAAAGCCCTGTAGGAATAAAAATGATATATACGTATGTAATTTGATTTTTAGAAAAGAAAGGAAACAAACAAATAATTCCAATCAAAGATTGGATGTGGTATGAAAAAGAAATTGACATTTTATGTGCATTACATGTAAACAAAACCCTTTCCAGTTCACAGTAAAATCACAGGATCACATTTCTCTAAAAATAGTCGACCCACACTCTGTTATCTATCGTCTTTCGTTAAGGTGGGCGCATTTCAGCGAAATGACGTCAGCACCTTCACAGCGGAAAAGCTAACAAACGTATGCAAACACGGCGGATCATTAGATCCACATTGATCAAGACTGCAGACATCTGCACAGCGCCGGCAGGTGAAGCGCATTTTAAGAAACCCTCGGTGCACAGGACACTTTCACTTCACTGCGTCTTCCACCAGGAACAATGAGGGTGAACGGGAGATGCACAAACGGGGATGGGAGCAGCAGCTTTCCTCGTGCTGTGGTCTGTCTGCTGAGACAGCCACTCTAAACGCGGCACCTGATTCAGATGACTGCAGCTCAGCAAAAACCTGTTGATCAGCCTCCGTCTGAAATCAGGTGTGTTGAAGCTGGGAAACGCCTAAAACATGCAGGGAGATGTGGCTTGAGCACCAGTTTGAACATGTTTGGAAACACTGTCCAAACTATATTTTCTGTCTTCCTATTGCAAATTATGACCCAATGGTGAAACAAATAAACCTAAGTAAAATGAAGCTCTCTTTTTCGTACCACAGAAATTTGCTGCTTCTTGCCAATAAAATACGTCGATCGAGATCTACCATTTACAAACAGAAACTTGTATCGAGAAAACCCAGCCGTCGTACAAATTGGTGTCCATTATCATGGACGGCGGACCAGCAGTGGTTGGCTCCTTGAATGGATTTATTGCCAAGTGTAGGCAGAACAATGCTTTTCTGGACTTCCTCAATCACTGCATAATTCATCAGCAACCGTTTTGCGCTAAAATGCTCAACATGAAAGAAATCATGGCTGTGGCAACCGTGATCGCCTGTTCTATTCACTTAATGCTTTCAAACAGAAGATGCAACATCTCTCCTCAGAGCTGCAGCACCATGATTTGGCAAACTTCCAGAACTTGACGTCAGAGCTGAAGATGTGTGACCCGACCGAGGGGCGGGGTTCCTTTTATTTATAGGACGCACCAGAACACTGATTAAAATATAATAGTTTATTAAACAATTTCTTTAAAACACTTCTCTTTTTTAAAAAACACATTTCAGGCGTACTACTTGGTCCCTGGAAGGGGAAGGGATTCTCTGAAAGACAAATTAAATCATTCCAAAAGGAATAAATGAAACAAAACATGCCATGCAAAAGAAGAAAACAAAAGAATAATAAATCCAATAACAAATAAGCACAGACTGCAAACAAACAAAACACTTCAAACAATGGAATAATTGCTGATGTCCGATTTCAGAAGCCGCTCACAACAGGACCGAAGGAGTCACGCCCACATATCCAAAATAGCAGCAGGTTCCGTTCTGAACTGCTCACGCCACACTGACAGGACACGACAGCAGAGCGTCCAAAGCGCTGCAATGCCCACAGCAATTGGTGCCTAAAACAGGAAATACATTACTGTGGATCTAGGAAAAGTAAGTAAAAATAAAATTGGCAGGTAGCTTAGCCAGGAGTAGAAGCACAGTTTCCCGGAGAGGAAGCGGACCAACAAGTGAGGACTAGATGGAAGCCACACGCCGCAACAATCTCCAGCTGCAATCGCCAATGCCACGGCAGCAAACAATGCTGCAGAAACGCATGGCAGGTATAGCACCAGAACCAAACCACAATCCCAGCCAGATGGTACAAATGGCACTTACGATTTCCAGTAAGCCGATCAAAACCACAGGCCACTCAGTCAGCCAGCATGTAGCAGAGGAGACAAAGACACACACACCTTGCAGCGGCCTGCCTAGCTATAAAGGCACCTACCCCGCCCACCAATCAATGGTGAACTTCTTGTTGCACCTGGTATGCAGAGTGAGGAGGGTGAAACACCATCCCACCACAGATGCAAAGGGAAGGCCTGCATGCAGCTTGACAGTGAAGGCTACACAGAGCAGGCTGATAATTGTCTGCCAGAGTTTGACAAACACTTTCAGGACTTTTTTTATTTTGTTTGAGCCAGTCGGTAGGTGCTATCCTTTTCGAGAAGATGCTGAGGTTGATTCACTCACGTCCAACGTCTCAACGCTGTTTCAACCGAACTCTTCTGGAGTGGAAGACGAAGTTTTGACACTACAAGCCCACATGAAGCACATGGACAGTTCTGGAACATGAGGACATGTACTTCCTCCTTGACTGGATGTTTCGGCTCCACTTATTTGCATGAGTCAGCCTTTTTCTACGTGAAGCTCATTGAGTCAAAGTACCATGGCTGCTGATGAGGCTGCAGCAAGTCATCAAAGTAAACTCAGGTAATGACAAAAAAACTGGACATTGTTGCGTTGTGTTGTGTTGTGTACAACTCATACAAGGCATGAGTTGTACCTTGCATAACTCATGCTGTTATACAAGGTAGATAAACATACATCAATATATTAGTAGATACATTTATATTTTTACATTTTCGTAGCAGGTGGATCATTTTGACTTTGTCATTTTATAATGATGTGAGAAACCCCTGATCTACAGGGCGGAAACAGCAACTCAGCCAAATCAAAACCAGATCTGACCATCTACCATATATGAAATCGTGTGTTCAGAGCGTCACCAATCAAAATCCAATCAGCAAAGAACACCAAACACGCACCATGTCTAGAGACATAAAACTGTATGAAAGTTACATAAAGTTCAGAGAAATTAGTTCAACACTAATTCCTCTTTCAAAGCCCTGAAGGTTTCTCAGAGAGACCCCCAACACGTATTTCTCTTGGCTGCAAAACCTCTCTCAAATAAAAGTTCCTATATGATCTTACTTCTTACTGCTTACAGTTGAAACCAGATGTTCACACGCACACACTCAGAAACCGTAAAACATGACACTGTTTGTGTTTTTTTATCTCAGCGTCTGATATTAAATCAGAATAAGCTTACTTAAAGATTGCATATGATGAAGAAAAATAAACTGGTGTTTAAAGATTTTGAATTAAAACAATAATTAAAAAAATCAGATGTGGAAAAAGTCCCCCTCTCCCTACTAGTATCGTGTCATTAAATATTTTTTTTAAATACATGTGGCCGCCCAAACAGACCCACATCAGCAGAAGCACGGCCTGATTCGACTTCAAGTGAGATGGAATAAAATAATATCAAGATTTTTGTAAAAGTCTCGTTTCTGCTCTGTCTGACTTCCTCCCTCTCATGTCCTGTCCTTCAACTTAAGGTCTTCCTATGCGGGGCTGCTCTGCATTCTTCCCATCAAACCCAAAAACTTCCTGTGACGAAGCTTCCAGCGTCGGCCGTGACCCTGTGGAACGCTCTCCATCTGAAATGCCTCATCCCTGGGGAGTTGGGAAAAGAAAACGGCTGCATTACTCCGACGTCAGCGGTCAGAAACATTTATCCTGACATGGCTTTTCCTCCCAGTTGAGACTTTTATTTTGAGTCACTTATCTGCTTTTATTCCGCCTTTTCTGAAATTCAAGGTATATCAACGTCTTTCAGACATTTATTTTCTTGATTCTGTTTCTCGCATTCAATCCTCGAAAAGTTATTTACCTGGAACCTTTTACATGTTTTTCTCCTTACAGTCTCAAACCTGTGAATTCTTCGCACGACTGAGAAGTAAAGGCAAAAGTATGTGTTTCCCAAATGTCTTTGTCAGGAAGGTGAAAAGTTCCTGTTGAAAACAAATTGGAACTCAGTCAACAGAAAGGGAGGAAAATGTAAAATAATGTAATTTAATTTCCAATTTTAGTTGCTTTAGCTGAAAAGCCTTTCATTTTCTGCACTTGAGAAATGCACAAATCTGTTTAATGGTAGATTTGAAACTCAACTGTATGTGCAACTTTGTGTCGTTGTCAGAAGGTGTGAATCCTTTGGTGCGCAAGTAATTGTAAATATTTTTCATGTTACTGAAGATGTTTCTCATATTCACACCTACATTTATGTGGAATTAGTTATTTACAACAATGTTCAATAAATTTGAATCTGAATTAAGTAAATGAGGCTTTTTCATCTGATTAAAAGTATGTTTTGAAAATAACAACCATGTGGATTTTCAACGTAGTTTTCATTAAGCCTTCATTTCTGAATTAAAAATATACATCTTTTAAATGAAAAATAATCATAGTTGACAGAAAAAGACGCTTGAAAACATCAGTTTGTGTGTGAGTGGAGTTACTGAATTAATTAGCATTTTTTTTTAAAATATCACTGCATGTCTGCAAATTAAGTACTATGCTTTTGCAAATCATGGGTTTCACCTGCAAACTAATAAAAGGAACTGCGTTGTTCTGGTTTTGGCATTTCAGTTCATGTGAGCATAAAATGAAAAGGATAAAAATAAATGCAGTCACTGCGTCTTTCACGCAGTGACTGGTGACTGATCAAATCATGAGATCTGATCAGTCACCCAAAGAGAGGAAGTTCACATGACTTCAGTTTTGAAATACTGCTGCGTGTCAAACTTCCCTTCCTGGCTGAAGTCATGATTTCTACCGATTCAAGCTTACGTATTGAAATTTGAATTTGAAGTCTTGTTGGAGCTACTTTGTTTCGTAAAGAGGAAACAACCCCCCAAAAACCTTCCAATATGCAATTCGAAGGATTTTAGGGAATGAAAACGGGGATGAAGGTTCGTGCAGAGAGAAAAAAGAAAAGTCAGAATTGGAGTGGTTCTGATGAACCATGAGAAAGGAAGGAAAGAAGATTGCACTATCAAATTAGCCGAACCCTTTGAAAAAAACTCTTCCCCTCCTCGCCTGTGGAGGCGCCCCACCAATAACCGCCGACGGAAATGACAGAGAAACCTCCAAAGAAGACGCATTTCACAACACATTAGCAAAACCTTTAGCAGTTGCATGATTACTCATTTGTTCTTTGATAAAAGGAAATATTTTGATAATAGAATTATCAGTGAAATGTTTAAAGAAAAATCTTGTAAATGGTAAAAGACTAAATAAATCATAGAGAAACTGTGAGTTTCTCCTTTCCATACAGCTCATCCAAGGCAAGCGCAAAAAAGGCCTAATTCACCTGAAGCCTCTCATCCTTTCACACCTTCCTTAATCCCTGCTCACTTGAGAGATGCACTGAAAGGAGATCCTTTTGTCACCCTGACGCTGACGGCGACGTTCTCTTATTACAGAGACACAGAAATGGAAACACTGAGACTGCGGCGAGGCGTTGAATAATATTCACGCAATAAATAAATCTGTGCCTTTCATCTTCCATCTGTTCACAATCAGACATAAGCATTTTGTGCAAGCAGATTCTTTTCAGAAATCACGTTTGTTTTCTTTCTTTTTTGTTGTTGTTGCTTTTCACGCCAGGAAAAGGCGGCTCTTTGGGATGCAGTTGCTTCCCAAGGGTTAACAAGGTTACTGTGTCAGTATCAAGTGACTAACAGTTGGCTCATTACCACAAGGTTGCTACTTATTTTGCATCATTAGCTGCGTCGGAGCAACACTCAGGCGTGTCAACAAACACCCGGAGGGAAAACAACTGATCCAATGACGGACATACTCAAGTTCAGTGTATTTCATCAGAATTTTAAATGATGGATCACCACAAAGTCGTGGATTTTGGTAAATTTGAACCTTATTTGATCACACTTTTGTTTTTTTCCAAACTAAAATCTGACTGATGAGGCATGGATTTGGATTCAGCTCCCTCTAGTCTGAAATTACTGAACAGAAAAGTAACCATCTGATTAGAGTCCAACTTAATGTACTTTAATTCCAATTAGAAAAAGCAGAACGTTATTAACATCTGAATTCTTGTGGAAAGATGTAGTTTGCGACTTGAATCGCATGTATTTTGGAGTTAAAACAAGGCCATGAAAAGAAATAGGAAGCAAAGAAAAAAAAAAGGGAAATTTTCTCTGTCCCACAGTGGGGAAATTTACATTTAGTTCAGGATTTGCCATAGAAAATGGCCGATGCCACCACTGAGTGAAAACAGGGCTTCAGGATCGCCCCCTGCAGGCCAAAAGATCTCAGCCTCCTGCTCTGTCCCTTCCTGTAAATAGCACCGCTGTTGTATGTCTCAAGAGAGAGCCTCTTATGGACACGACTCATGCATTGGCTACTGAGAAGTCCAACCCATATTACATAAGTTCAGTGACCTTCTGAAGCCTGCAGCTCATAGAGACAGTTCAAGGAAACCTTAATGGTTGTGTTCCAGATTGTTTCTGGGTATGAATTAAATTGAACAAAATATCCAAATTTTATTCTTATATCAAAAATTCCCAATTAAAGGGATTTTATATCTGGTTCTTTCAGATATGCATCATTCGGACAAGTGCTTCTGGCTAACGGTCTGGTTTATATTATACCTCACAGATCAGTTCTAAACCTCAAAGGAGCACTTTGAGTCTGAAGTCAAAAGAAATTACAAAGATGCATAAACCTTACAGAAATGCACTTCAACCACCTGACAATAAACTGGAAGCATTTTTATGAAAAATAAACAGCAAAACGAGGATGCAAAATTTTCAGATGCCAGCGGGCACAAACAGGTGTGCAAAAATAACACCACCGAAGAAGAAATATATGGAGAGGGCTTCTAGACTTAGAGACAAGGGCTTACAAAAATCACAGTGGTTTCACAGTGTCTACAGTCAACAATACCTGTCTGTGTCTACAGGTATTGTTTATGGAAAAAAATGTTTTTGTGTCCTTCCTATTTGCTCACAAGCACACTACTGCTTGCTTACATAACCATAACATTTAAGACTGGCGACAGCTACCTTAGCAACTATGTTTTAGACTCCTGTTCTCCCAACCCAGAAAAGGAATTAGACCAGAGGATACTTATCTACCAACTCTGAGTAGGAGTATCTAGTTTTTATACTTTGGCTCAACATTATTAGATTCTTTTCAGACTCCTGTTCTTCCAACCCAGAAAAGGAATTAAACCAGAGGATACTTATCTAGCAACCCTGAACAGGAGCACCAAGTTTACATACTTTAGATCAACATTAGATTCTTTTTCTTCTTTGGCTTTTTCTCTTCCCTTTGGTTTGTTATTGTGTTTGTGTTTTCTTCTAAAGCACTGTGTTGCTGAAAATGTGCTATACGCATAAAATGACCTTGCCTTACCTTCACGTTACACATAAACAAAAACTGATTGAGGCAGGCCAGCACATTTTTGCTTAACTCCTCATATTTTGATAAAGCAGTGCTTCATGCAACAAATAGAAAAAAAAAGTATTCAACAATCAATCCATCCATTCTCGATCACAACTTATTCCGAGTCAGGGAGAGACTAGAGACTAGTGCTACCTCCAGCAGTCACGCTCAGCAGAAGTCACATGGGGGGAACCCCAAGGCTATCAGGCTGTAGCTCAGTTTATAACAAGAAGTAAAATCGGCTATCATAAGTACGCAGATGTCATTACAATCACACCAGGTGACGCCGAACCCGTCCAAGCACTGATCAGATGTGTGGACGAGCCAAAACTTTCTCCAGCTGAAACAAAACTGAAGTAATTATTATTTGACCTGGACGAGGAACAATCTAGAGTCAACACACAGCTTCAGTTATTGCAGCTATAAAATAGAATCAGGCCATAAATCTGGGTGTGGGACTGTTCAAGGGGTGAGGAAATATTTACCTTTCCTCCGTCTTTCTGCTCCTGGGGATAGTAAACAGCGTGCCGTGGATCCTTTCAGCCTGATTCTTAGCAAAACATTCACATTGTCTACAAACAGAGTTCAGCCACTTGGATGCTTTGCCGTCTTATTTCTTTTACAAATCAGTCGTGATTAGCTTTTTAATAAAAAATAAAAAATATGCACAAAAGAACCCTTTAATGTTAAAGTCTTCAAGGTCTCCAAAAATGATAACTAAACACAAATGTGAAACATAAAACAAGTGTTTGCATACATAGTTATCTTCTTTAAAATGACTGATCTAATTCAACAAAGGTCCAGTCAGACGGTGCCATTGCAACCGAACAGAACTAGACCACTTTTACGTGGGAGAATGGAGTAAAGCTGTGGCGTGGAGCCTGGGGGTGAGTACTTTTTTTTTCTTTTTTTATGGAAATCTGCAAATGCTAATGGTCTGATTTTGAAAAGGACACTTTTTTTTTTCTTCCTCAGGCACTTCTTTGTCTCTTGTGGAATACAATTAAACAAGCACGCACATTTGCCGCTATCAGGACTTTCCTACATCCAGGAAGTTCCCCAGACACCATCGACTGCGAGCGCTGCCGTCGCCAACGCCACGCTGTTCAGCTGCGGTCTCCCAAGTTTCTCCCCTAAAAGCTTTGCAATTACCCACAAATTGAGTTTTCTGTTGTGGTCAGAACATGTGTTTCTAGAATGTCATGTGGAGGGAAAAAAAAGAAAAGAAAAAGAAAAAAGAAGTGGAACAAAAATGAAGACTGTTTCCATCATGAACGTCACATCAGCTGTTTGTGACGTTTTCACCGTTTTGTCAATCTTAATTTGACAGAACACAAAGCAATGCATGATTGAGCTGATTATTTCAAATTAAATCAAGCGAACTGTGGCAGACATTTGCATTTAAGTCCACTTGAGTCCATGCTTTGTAGAACCGTCTGTCACTGCAATTGCAGCTGCAAATTTCTCCACAGTTTGTCCACAGATCCTGGATTGTGTTTCTGTCTGGATTTCAGTAAATCCACTGAAGCCGTATCCGTCCATCTTTGGGTCGTGGCCTTCGTCTTCCTGTATTATCCCGCATTTACATCCGTCCAGATGCAAATCAAAACCGATTAGCTTCCTTGCTCAAAAACATAAGACATGACACCGGCATGATGCGTCCACAAATCAAATAGCAGAGCTGTGGCAGATCACTGGAGACCAGAATAAAACAAAAAACACACAAAAAAAACAGCCATTGATCAACATCCTGCAAGTTCATAAAGGTGCACAAATAAATAAGTTGTGAGAGTGGAAACATACCAGTATTTCATTTGTACATGATTTTGTTTTGATCATTTGAACCTGTAGCTTCTTTAAAAGTAACGATATAAATCAGTGACATTTTCCCTCTTGCATATATTATTACGTGGAGCAACAATTTTTGAGGTAAAGCAGTGAGAACTGTTGAATTGTCCAAAGAAGTTTAGTTACAGTTGAAAATAGGATTTTACTCTCACTGCTGAGTTCTTGTGTGGTTACTTAAAAAACCCACACAATCCAGGCTCAGTTGTCATCACTCCTGCTACATTTTGTG